ATATAATAATAATAATAATAATAATAATAATAATAATAATAATAATAATAATATTCAATATTAAATATTAAATATACTATTTATATATAATATATAATATATAATATATAATATATAATATATAATATATAATATATAATAATAATATATATTAATTCGGTGCACAAATATAATTAACATAATATTAATAATAATAATAATGCATATAATAATTTATTGTTATATATACCTTATATATAACAATAAATATACTAAATATATAATATATAATTATTTATTTATATAAACAATATATAACAATTCAAATATTTTTTCTTCTGTTTCTTCTGTTAATGTCTGTATAAGATTAGATAAAATTCGTAGGATAATTATTTTTTTTTAGGACACCCTATTTGTGATCTCTCCTCTCCTCTCCTCTCCTCTTCTCTCTTCTCCTCTCATACTCCTCGTGTTCCTATGTAATATGTTTATGTAGCATAGTAGATATTCCGTACATAACTAGTTAGGTGTATAGATAGGAAGAGAAGAAGGTGGTGAGGGAGGGTGCGGTGTACGTTCATTCGTCGGTGGCTACGTTTCACACTCATATACCTTTCATATACCTCTCATATATACCTTTCATATATATATGTATATATATATATGCTTGTGAACACGCGCGCGCGTTTCTCGCGTGCATGAGAGAAACACCGTCAGGGACGTATATAAGCGTTGCTTGCTACTCACACAACAACACGTTCGGTGCACTTGTCCATGCTTCACATAGTGAGTGCAGTGTCTCTCAACTTTCTTTTTTCTACGAATTTTTATTCTTATATTTATTATTGTTTTTCATTCAATGAAATCAATGATTTCAATCATTTTATGTCAATGATAAAAAAATTGAATCATTTTTATGTTTTTTTTTTATTAATAAAATCATTTTAATGATTTGAGTTAATGAAATGAATGATATGATTGGTAAAAGGGATTAATTATTATGTTACGTTTTAAAAAGAAAATGATGATACTAAACGAAT